ATCCGCCAGCAGCACCAGCAGGAGGGGGCGGCGGTGGGGCGCTCATCGCAGCAGGCAAAGCAAACAAACGCAGGGCCTAGATTGTGCCAATCAGCTTTCAGTTTTCACCATGCGCAGCTTCCTGCCAAACGCAACTGCCAAATGGGACGGTACGCATTTAAGATTTTGGAGGATGCGGAAGTCAAAAGTGAGCACCTGAGCATATGCTGCTACACAGTGGCCTTTTTGCAGAAGCTCAATTGCTCTTGTGTAGCACGCGTGGCCCCGCAAGAACTGAATTGCCAAAGTGGGGATCCGACGGGGCCTCCGGCCCCTGAACATTGATTTGGGGATTGGCTGAGCAGTTCTCAACGCGAAAGTCCGCAGCAATTCTTACAAGGGTGCCCGTAATGGAGCAACTAAAGCAACTCTGGGCAAAGGGGGAAAGAGATGAATTGCCACACTTCCCACTGATCCTGTTGCTGAAAGAGACAGTTTCTTGGTTCGGTTCAGATGTTTCACCTGTCAAAAACGTTCTCAGTTGAAAGGGGCTCGGATGTGGCCGGTTCTCCCTCCCCCAAAGACGGCAAACTGACAAAGTTACAAATTGGCTGCGTATTGCTTTGAGACCTCTCAGCTTGCGCTGCTGCTGGCTAGAAGTGGTCCTCCACGCCTTCCATCAACAGGTTCTGCATTTGCTCCTCACAGCTGACAAACAAGCGCGTAAGCAATCCAACTAGTCACACAAACCGCTTTGACTTGTGTAACATTGTAGGCAGGGCACTGACGAGCACAATTCCGATACCTCCGTGAGGGCCCCTTCTGTTTCGCCAGAATCGAGGCGCCGCTCAGCACCATCAGCGAATATCTCAAACGTGAATTCATACAGGTACCCTGGGTTCAACACGGTCTTGATGTTGTGAGAGTCCAGTTCAAGCAACCCGCCGGATATCATACGAGCCTCAGCAGCAAAGGCGTTGTGCGTCTTGATTGTTCAGGGTTGGGTTGATGTTAGGGGCTAAGAAAATAACCGCAGGTGGGGCACTGTAATCCGGTCTCCAATTGCATTGTTGAGGACGCAGGTGCCAATCTCTTTCTTGACGTTAGGCTTGTTGGCCTTCTTGCTTCGCTTAGGCTTAGAGTTCTTCATGGCCTTCATGGGAGCCTTCATGGGAGCCTTCGTAGACTTCATTGGTACCCCCACAGCTTTCTTCATAGACTTCTTGGGCTCCTTGTCGGCTCCTTTGCGGGTTGGTGCCTCCGATGAGTCGACTTTCACGGATGCCTTTGCCATGGAGACAGGTCGAAGCGAAACGGAGAGCCGGCGGGCGGGCAGGTGTAGTCAAAGCTATTCCCACAAAATAGTTTCAGCCAAATACTGATGCTATGGAAGGAGTTGACATGAGCATGCTTTGCACACGCATGCAAACGCACTCAATTCAAAGCGGCTTCCGCAGGATATACCTTGCCTGCATCGGCAAGACAGCGCCGAGCTCAATCTGCGGCGCCCAAAGCGAGTACCTTGCAGCTCACACGCTAGGAGTGTTGCAAGGGTGTGTCAATGTCTGCAGAGTTGGGCGCCCCCCTGGAAAACATGGGTGGCGATGATCTTGGCAGCCAGGTTGCAGCATACACTTCATGTCTGCAATCTTGCCGCCGTCCATGATGTACTGTCAGAAATGAACAGGAAAAGCTGCACACATGCGCTGTTATTTTGAGGGTTCCAATCACCCAAATTAAATTCCCGCTACCGGCGGACAGGCCCGCCTGGTAGTAGGACAAATCGGCAAATACAAGGGCTCCTCGTGCTCGATACGTTGCACCCCATTCCTTAGCCAACTCTGGCGGGGCTGGTTGACTTGGTTGGTTCATTTTTTCAATGACTCAACAACTCAATGGTGCCACCAAGTTTGTTTCGAAGGAAAACAATGTCCCAATAAATAGGCGAGTGTCTTGGTGAATTGTGTGAGCCAGTTTTGGGTGCTGGCCCTGTGACCGCAACCACGCCTCCACTGACTCAATGGATCGTGGCCGCCGAGGCCGGTGTTCATTCTCTTCCTGCGGTGGAGGCGTGGCGAGAACTGACCATGGGCCTTCTTACGGGAACAGCTAAAGAAACAGTCCTCTTCATGTGGCAAAGCGACGCCGAGCTGATCGATGAATTGCTGCAATTGGTATCTGTCGTAGTAACCCGCACGTAAATGTTTTTGGTCGTTGGGCGACTCTAGCTCAGGGCTGCAAAACTCACGAACCTGTTCGACCATTTGGCCCGAGAACATGCGCAGCAAGCTGTAGGCAACAGCCAAGCAGGCATCAGATCCATTGAGAAGGAAACTAGCGCATAGCTCTCCCGGAGATTGTTTGTCCTGGGCATGCAGGGGACCAACCCAAAACAAAAACTGAGAAGCTGAATGAATCAGAAAACCCTAGTAGACCATCAGTTCTCCATTAAGTACCAACTCAGCTGTATTTTCTGACCACACCAAGGCTCCTGTTCCCTCACCAACTGATGCTCTTTGTCTATTGAACCCAGCCATTGCATATAGGAGTAAAACCACGGGGCTGCATGTAGCTGCGACCATCGAGCACGAAGATTGATCACGCATCCGTCCACCACAGGGATATCCTCCTGGGCGGTGCAATGACGATGTTTGTTGCGACAAAAGCCTGTTGGTGGTATGGGGGGGTGACCAAGTTGAAAATCAAAATGCAGCCCAGTTACCCCCATGAGCCTCACGCTTCCTTGAAGCCGAAGAACGGACAGCCAGTCGCGCAGGCAAAGCGCAGACCTGGGCGCTGCCGGGAATCGAACTGCGCGTGGAAAGGGCGCGAGTCAATGCAAACAAATCCTGCCCGGGTAATTGTTCGGGCTAGATGTTTGGTTTGGCAAATGGTACTTTTAGAAAGGTTGGACATTTGTTGAGACCAGGAGCTGATAAGCATCTTGATCCCGAATCTTGGCCCCAGTGATTCCGTAGGAAAGCATCGCCACCAGGGCTTTGGTGGGGCTCACGATTTCCCGAATTTGCGATGCCAGAATCGAATTCGGAACCAGGGATTCATCGTATCTGCCATTCCGCTTGCGCAACTGCCCGCAAACCTTGGAAGTTCAAAGGCCAACCGACCTCCCTCATTCCACAACGCTCTAAATCCCCAAGCAAACGCTTTTGAGTGATAAGGGGCTGCAAATTTCTGTGGCTCCGCCTGAAAAATGACCCGGTACTCCTTCTGGAGTTGGGTCGCCCTCCGATCGACGAAGTGATTCAAGAACTGCCTGCGCTGCGGCCGGTAGAGCTAGTGCCCGAAACCTTTTGGAAGGAAACAAAAATCCAAGAAAGCCAGCTGTTGCCCACTCCAACCTGGAAGATCGATTGCCAAACGCCGAATCCCACCATGTGCTAGGCCAAAGGCATTCCCCGCTGGCGCTAATGATGTACACATGGCTGAGTGGCCAGTTTTCTCTGGCCGGATACCAAACCGCCTCCATCGAGCCACGCTTGCGCGGCAGTCAACGCTCTCAAAGAGCAAGCCGGGTTGCTTGCCAACTGCAGTTGACCGACTCTCAACTTTTAACCCATATTTAGTGCCCTTTGAATTTTAACCCATAACTATGAGACCAGGTTTTGGGGTTTATCCAGGGGTTCATACATTGGACTCTTGATGATGGCGCCTCTTGTTTCGCCTATGGGAAAGCTGCCCTTCATGTTTTTGTTGTGGCGTCCTGTTTTGGTGGCGGGAGTAGGGAGTTGCGACTTGTCAGCAACATGTGCTGGAGGATAGCATTTGTAGAGGGCTAAATGATGACGAAATACTTGGCTCAGGCTCAAATAAAATCATGACTAAGTTTGGATTCAAAGTACCCCGCAAACCCATTCTATTTGTTTAGGCCCTTGCAGTATACTGAGTGGTTGTGGAATCAAGCAACGCCATACTACTCATTGGTTGGGAGGACATGACCCCAATATCAATCTCACAGTTGTACTTTTCCGACTTTCATTCGCCAGTGGGGCCCATCTGTTTTTTCAAAAGGACTCGTAGGCAAGAATCATGACCATGGCCCACATGCGGAGTTTAGTGCCAGATCAAACCTCCACGCAACCAAAGCAAGTCCAAGAGAGGAACCCTCAAGTCCCAATAACAAACATAGAACCTGCACACAAATTCCTGGAAGACCAATTTTTGTTTGTAAGGGGACGCCTGGGTTCCATACATTTGCTTTTGGCAGGGTGCCGTAACTAAGCCTTGCGGTTTCCTGCACCCTGACCACTTTCGGTTGGGGATCTTGAGCTTCTTGCTCTTGTGCCCCTTTGGGTTTTTCATCCCAAGAGCCCCCCAAGAAAATCTCAAGGACACGACAAATGCTGTTCAACCCACGTTAGGCAAGCAGGTTATAGCCATGTTTATAAGTTTAATGGGGGGACCCCAGCAACCCAAGTTACAAACATGGTTGCAACCTTCTTACCCAACGAGGGTTTTGAAAAATCCGGAACCCTAGAAGACGCCCTAACATGCCCACGGATGCCTCAAATCGTGCAAAGGGCACAAGCACACTGCTTGGAAAAAAATGGTGTACCAATTGCCGGAACTTTCGGGGCACAGGGAACTATTCGGAAATCACCAGCGCGCTGGCATTACAAGTAGTTTGCCATGGAATGGTTGAGAATGCCTGGTTTTGCAGAATGCGATTGTCAGGGATACTAGCATCCAAGGAACCTGAGGGGTCCTCCAACCCTTTGATCAAAGTTCCATGGAACCCTCGAAGCATCTTGATCCCTACTGTGATGGACAAACTCCTGCACTACTTAACATGGTTTCATCCATGGTTTCATGTCGTGGTGCCAAAATGCGGATTTCGCAATCATCCACGGTTTGAGTGAACGATGTTGGACGGAAGCCACTCATTTGTTGAGGGCTCCGCCACTCATTTGTTGAAGCCACAGCCATTGGGTTGAGGGCTCTGAGGAACTTTTCTGCACCTTTGCACCGAGCCTTGCGGGAGATTGTTTTTGCCCCGGTCTGAGGCTGGAGGTGTTGCAGCAGGTGGACAGCATCCGCAGCGCGGAGGCGCCGGCGCGAGGGGTTTTGAGGGGAGACCCAGTGGCTGGTTTTGGGGGGCGCCCAAATGACCGGGAAGTGGCTTACCTATGTTGCTGGCTTCCTGAGTCCATGGACTGTTGGCCACTTTTTGGGGTTTGGTTGCTGTTCTTTGGTGGTAAAGACAAGGTTCTGACTTTTGTTCGGCCAATCCCACTGAGGAAGTGAGTTGCTGTGGTGGCTTCTTCGGGGTCTTTGCCGAAGATCCTGCGGACTAGGACCACATTGGCTTAAGAGCAGCTGCGAGCTTTTTCTGAAAGCCCGAAGTTCATATTATGGGTGTGGCTCAATTTGTCTCCGCTTGCCAGGGCAAGCCATTTTGGTGCCCGTGTTTTTTGAGCCACGGCCATATTGAAGCGTGCAAGGGAGTTCCACTGTTCCAGCAGGTGGATGAGCAGATCTCCCAGATGCTGGATCGCATCGAGAAGCGGGACTCCCAGAGAGAGAGGGAGGGAGGGGAGGGGGAGGGAGCGGAGGGGAGGGGAAGGGGAAGGGGAAGGGGAAGGGGGAAGGGGAGGGGGAGGGGGAGGGGAGGGAGAGAGAGAATTAGGCATGGCTGATCCCCTAACCCTATACCCACCCTGAACCAACCCTAAACCCACCCTAAACCCACCACCCCAAGCCAACCCTAAATCAACCCTATACCCTGAAATCCCGCAAGGGAACTTCCCCCCTCCCAGCTTCCCACCTTCCCCCCCACCACCCGAGGCTGCGGCTCATCCACGAGCAGAGCCGGCGCTGGCACCAGAAGTGCGAGAGCTCCAGGCGGTCTGAGCTCTGAGTTTTTACGCCTGGGGTCTGGCAGGTTGCCGAGCCATTTTCACGAAAGCCAGCTATAGCTAGCTGAAGTTCCTCCTTGCGTAAGCAAGTTAAGGGTCTGAAATGCCGAACGATTGATTTGATCAAGTCCTTTAAAGGGAACCTCCAAACGGGGCGCTTGTTTGCAAGGGAGATGACCGGTAAAACTCGCGACTTTTGATTTGGGGGACATCCAGTGGATCCCTGTCTGGGGTCAGTAGTTTGAGTCTGTTTCCAGGGGTTAAAGTTATCATTGAACCTACTTAGGGGCTGACTTTGGCAAATGGTAAAGCAATGGGGCCAGCAATTACCCCAGAGGTTTCACTCGTGGAAAACACAAAGGCGTTGTGAGCACGGCATTCTCGGCGTTTTGCACCGGGGGGGGGGGGAACAACAACAGGAACACTATTCTCGTGGACCCCGTCACTAGGGAGCTTGATATTTACCTCCAGGTTTGCAGGTGGTTTCCATGAGGGTTATGAAGAGACAAAGGTCTGTCAATATGAAGCATTTCCGGTCTCAAACAATGGGAGCTAAGCAGCGAACGTGGTTTGTAAGTTTCACACACGGAAGCCAAAAGGGGATACTATCAGAGGCTAAGCAATTACACCCCTTGTTATCCTATAATCATGACTAAGTTTGGAGCCCTTTTTTCTTTATTCGCCCCTCATGAATTGTCCGGCACCCAGAATCGCTCTTTGAGGGACACTGACATTCAAAGCAATGGGAGAGTGATTTTGAAAGTGTCTGTTTATTCCCCCAATGGTTTGTTTACAACACCCTCTGGCTTCCGTTTCAGTAATCCCCAGCAAAAGGCACCGAAACAAATCGAGTTGCCAAGGATAAGACCCAAACACCCATTTCCTCGACTGAGGTTTTGTGGGTGAAAACGGAGTTTTGGCCAACTTTCCATTTACCAGGGCCAGCCATTTTGGGGCTAGTCCTGTTTTTGACAACCACACTTAGTTGGTTTACAGGGGGGATTCTCCGGTGACACACGAAAAACACCTGAATGTCCCTTGAGGCGTTTGTTTGTCTACCGTGCCAGGGATCTTGGAGCAAGCAATCTTGTTGAACCGGCAGCAACATCCGCCCCCCGAAAATACCTAATATGCGACAGTGAAGTGAACATTATTGTTGGTACACATGCATATTGATTTGGTGTGGTGTTTTGTGTTTTTTGTTTTTTTCCTTCTCGGTTTTGGAGGTTATTTCAATGGAAAGCCAATGCGAAGCCACTCATTTAGGTCCATCGATTGAAGACAATCCTGCTCATTAAATGGCTGTGGGTCGAAAAATAGGTACCCAAAATAGAACCCTGGTAAATGGAAACATAGACTAAAACCTGCAGTCCGATTCCTGGTGGTTTAATTTTTACCCACACCCAAATGGCGCTGCGGATGTGTTGGCAGGCCTTTGTCCCTATTGGCCACGAACCCCGGCAGCGTGCCAGGATGGGCTACGGCGGCTTTGAGACGCGTGGGGCCAAGAGGGCATGGGCTAGCAGGCAGACATGGGGACAAATGTCCAGGAAATTTAATAAGGAAACCGCCTCAAAATTGGTTGGTGGGGATACAAATCTCGTTTGGGGGTGTTTCTTTTGGGGGCCCCCAAAATTGGTTGGTTGCCTTAAACAAAACCAACCAAAAAGGGGTCAACAACAGTTCAGGCGCAAAGGATGGTCCGTTGTTTCGGGTCAAGTAGCAATCATGTCCTTTTCTGAGGGTGCTGTTCTTGGTAGTGTTCAAGGACATCCAAAAGGAAAGACACCTCTTGGATGGCGGTGGCGTGTTCGGTTTTCGTGCCGGCTGGAAAGTAACTGGTTCTGTCTTTTTTGAGGGTACCCCTTGGTTTGGTGGTTTTAAACGGGAACCAGAAAGAACACCAATTTGGAGGGTCTAAGAAGCAGGCAGACTCTAGGTTAGCAGCTTCTCTGTTCTTGCAATATTTTGGTGAAGGACAACCGTAGCTCCAGAAGGAAGGACTCTCCCACCTAGCGAGAAGCATGCAGGCCGTCTTGATTTTTAGCCTGGGCCCCTCGATTCAGAAAGGCTGTGCAGGGTGAGCAGGGGCTCAGCGCCGGCCAGGGGACTGGTTGGTTGTGAAACTTGCTGGCCGCGGTTCAGAATCTAGGGCTGCGGTTCCACTTTGACACAATGACGATTCCTTGATAAAACGGCCATGGCCTTGCATGGTTGGTTGGTTGGTTGGTTGGTTGGTTGGTTGGTTGGTTGGTTGGTTGGTTGGTTGGTTGGTTGGTTGGTTGGTTGGTTGGTTGGTTGGTTGGTTGGTTGGTTGGTTGGTTGGTTGGTTGGTTGGTTGGTTGGTTGGTTGGTTGGTTGGTTGGTTGGTTGGTTGGTTGGTTGGTTGGTTGGTTGGTTGGTTGGTTGGTTATTCGGTTGGCTGGCTGGTTGGCTGGCTGGCTGGCTGGCTGGTTGAGAAGGCGTTGAGGTGGTACAGATCTAAGAGACGCGCGACTGCCCACCAGAGGGCATGAGCATGCGCAAGGGCTTGCAGGAGCGTGAGGCGTTCCAATGGGTTGAGGACGCGTTGGATGCCGACGAATTGGAGGCCGAGCTGGATGTGACTCCCTGTTGCCAGTCAGCAACGCAAGAAGCAACTGGAGCATTGGCCAGTCTTGCCCTCGGCGGAGAAGCAACGTCCCCCTGAGCAATTGTTGCGGGTATGTTTTACAAGGGATCCCTAGAAGGTGGATTCCCTTTTGGCCCCCGCTAAAGGGAATTCACAAAGTGTCCTTAAAGGTAATTCACAAAGTGCCTTTTTTTAGGCTAGTTTGGATAGAATAGATTGGTTGCACTGGCTTAGATTGGAATTATTCCATTTACCAGGGCCATTTGTTTTACCAAAAGGACATGTCCAGTGACCTCTCTCCTTTTGTTGATAGGCTACCAACAACGGTGCTCATTGCGCAACACTCGAAACAATTTGTGGCACTGCGCACTTGCCCGGATCTTGTTAAACCAGCCCTTTGGCCGTGATTTCAAGCCAGGGACCCCCCGAAAAGTTGGGTTTTCCCTTTGGGGCTCCCTTCGAAGCCAAAGCAAAGGGGGGTCCCTTGAAACCGATCCCCCCCCCCTGCAAAGTGCAAAAAAGCCCAGTGAATAAGGGTGGGGGGGGTTGAGAATAAGGTGTGTGGTGTCCGGTGAGAATAAGGAGGGGGGGTTGAGTGTCCGGTGTGGTTGCAACCCTCGTCTATTTGGCCCCCCAAAAAAAATCCTTCAGGCTGTGAAGCCCGCTCAGAAAGGGCTCCGCGGTTTTGATGCATGAGACCTCCGCATGTTCGGTCCGACTATGGAACTCGAGGATCCCGAAAGAAGCTCCACAGGATTAGGGCTGAAGAGCCTTCAGCAAAATGAAGGCAACTAAGAACACATACCTATTGAGATTGACGCATTCCCGGTCGACTAGGTGTCCAAGGTCAGTGTGGTCGAAAACAGATGAATTCCTGAATTTGATTGCCATCGAGCAACAGAATCTATGGTTTTCCCAAAAGCTACCTAATACAAGGATACGGGCCCAACCAATTACAAAGGGGTTGTGCGACAATTTGAAACCAAACTCTGCCGAATCATCGTAAGGGAAGGACACGTCATTTATTTAGCCCCTTATATTGCCGAACACAAGAGGCTAGAACATTTGCTTTTGAACGTCATTCTCCCATGATCATGAGGTGGCTCGGTTTGATGGTGCCCTGCACCTCCATGCCACAAACTTCTCCGGGCTGGTTAAAAGAAAGGGAGATCCCTGGTCTACTTGGTGGTTCAATCATCTACCAGGGCCATCTATTTTCCAAAAAGGACACCTATTGTAGGGGTACCTTCCCCATTCTTTCCAGGGATCCGAATCTTTTCAGGAAACCATCAAAAACCCAGGGGAAACGGATCCAGTTTTTGAAAAGAACGATGGTTGAATGCTTCCATCTACCTGCAGTCTCCACCTCAACCCCACCCAACCCCAACTCAGCCCAAGCACCCCACTCGAATCAACCCCTAGACCTATGCTTGTAGGCTGCTTTTTTCCCTCGCACTTCTGAGGCCAAAGCAGGCGGAGGCGCGGGCCAGAGCTGAGAAAGACTTCCGTTTTTTGGTGCGACGGGTAATGGTCACATCGTGCCGCCCCGGAGAGGGACCCACCAAGGAGGGAGCCTCCCAAGAGAGCCAGCTCACCAAAGGGGTTTCCGCTCAGAAAGGGGTGATTGAGGGAGGTGGGTTGGATCCAAACCTCAATTTGTTTCTTTTTAGTGGACCCCCTCAAAACTGGACTGCTATTGGGTTAAATCTTTAGACTTTAACTTTTTGGTTGAAATCAAGTTGGGTTTTCCATATTAAACCCACAAGAAGTCAACCACTTTTTGCCGAGGGGTCTGTGCAGCAACCAAGAATAGGTTGGGGGGCCTTCTGAACTTGGTGGCTCGCAGCCATCCGGTTCCTTAGCTTTTTAACCTTTTAGTGTTCAGTGGGGTTTTCCAGTTAACCCACTAAAAGTTAAACTTTTCGCGGGGGATCTGAGGGCAGCCCAGTTGCTAGGTGGGGGGCTTCGCAGTCAGGGGTCAGCATGGGGATGGTAGGTGTCATTGCCTCAGTTGAGAACTGCCTGATGTAAAAGCGAGCGGCGCATAATGCATACCGGAAGAAACGTTTGAAGCCATAGTTGGTGCTTTTGCTGCCGAATGGTTTCATCAGGTTATAGGAATGCCAGTAAAACCGAAACAAAAAGGTCAATCGATCCGTTTCAGGCGCGGTTCTCAGCTCCTTTTTGTGCTGGGTTCACCACAAAGCTTGGTCACCCCCGAAAAAGTTGTTCCCTTTCTAGCAGGGCACAAACCAACTGGGTCTTCGAGCTTCCTTCAGCAAGCGTTGAATGTCTTCCTTTCAGCCAAGGCCACGTTGGAACTTGTGGCCAAGGCTATGGGCTATGGCTATCCCTGGATAAGCCAAGTTGACAAGCCCTCAATAAGGCCTCAGGGGGTTATATGGGCCCTCCCCTATTCGCCCCCAAGCAATTGCTTTGTTAGGAGGTGGTTTCCCAGTGATTCCCATTCTTTGCACCCATCGTGGCTGTCGCCCTCTTGCTTGATCTGCCCTGCAATTGGTTCCATCCGAATCGAAGGAACGCGGTTGTTGTGGGGAGTCGTCTCCAAACGTGAGACCCGCAAGGCGGGTAGTCTGCTCTTTTGCTTGTCTGTTGACGCAGGAATCTCCGCTTGCGGGTTGCTCACAAGACGTTGGCTGAAGCCATTGTTTGGTTGGAAATTGGAGTTGCGGTGATTTCGACTCCTTCGGGGACCTGCAAGGATGCTCTCTCATGCCTTCTTTGACTTTTCCCCCAAGAGATCTCCGGTGAAAGATCCGAATGTAATCCTCAAGCGAACAGTGATAAAAGCGCGCCAAGACTTCTCACTGCCAAAGTAGAATCCTTCTGGTAAGCAAAGAGCTCAGACTTGCTTTTGGCTTTGCCCACTCCCCTTTTTGGACTTTGGAAATAAACTGAACATTGGGCGTCCTGGACCCGCTGACTCAAGATGACGCCAGCCGATCCAAAAGGAATCCCCTTCCAAGTGCTGAAGAATATCTGTTATTTGTCCCTTTTCGGCTTTCAAGGAATCTATCACTGGCGATATGTTCCATTTATGTTCCATTCTTTTGCAGGGCACGAAAAAGCAAAGGGAGGCAACTCTAATCCCCGTTCCAGCCCTCCACTTCCCTATTCCTTGTTGTTCCGTTTCCGGAGATGTTAGGGTGCTCCCTGTCGCAATTTCATTGCGTTGTTTCGGGTTGGCTTGGGGTTGGTTTGGGGTTGGTTTAGGCTTGGCTTGGGGTTGGTTTTTAGGGTTGGCTTTGGGTGATTCAGGGTTGTTTTTGGGCTGGTTTAGGGTGGGTATAATCTGTTTAGGGTTGATTTCGGGCTAGGGTTGAGGGTTTAGTGTTTGGGCTTCAGGCTTTAGGGTTGCAAGGGTGCGAGTTTAGGGGCGAGGGTCTGGGGACCGTAGCACAGGGGTTTGGGGCTGGGGGGGCGGGGGGTTGGCTCTGCTGTTTTTTTCTTGTTCTGATTTGATTATTATTATTATTGTCAGTATTACTTCTTAAACAAAAAATAATAATAATAAAAAAAAAAAAATGTTGATTTCAAGGGCAAATCCTGGCAGTGGTATATTTTTCAGCTATTTGTTTCTCGGTCCAGGCTGTGGAGCGGCCGAAGGAGCCGAAGGATCGCACGCGCCAGATCGTGGCAGAGCTCCTCAAGAAGAACGCCGCCAAGACTCGGTGAGCGTTCCCTCCGCGCCCCGTTCCGTCCCAAACCGCAGTTCCGCTCGCGGCTGGAGCGGCTGGAGCGGTTTCGGCCTGTTTTTTCGCGTCCGGCGGAAGGCGTGTGAATTCTACGGTGAACGCGAACCGTCAGCACAGTCGCCGTAAGGTGATTTGAATTGCTTTGGAGGTGGTTTCCTACTGAACAACGGGGATAAATCCCACATCGGGCGCAGCAAACCAACATGAGGCTTGTCAAAAAATTGTGATGCACCTCTGCAAAGAAGTGGTGGGAAATAGCTTGACTGCTATTGGGTTGGATCTTTAGACTTTAACTTTGTGGGAAATCAAGGGGTTTTCCACTAAACCCTCAAAAGTTAATCTTTTTGCTCGGGGGTCAACAGCAACCAAGATAGGGCCTAGCTCAAGAAGCAAGCCAAGTAAGGCCTTGACAAGAGAGCCTTGTTCAAGAGCGCTGCGCAGCTCTTTCGTTTTGTTTCACCACACGGGCGCCGTCTGCGACTTCGTGGCGTCTTTTTCGGCCTCTACCGTTGGGGTTGGGGGCCTTTGAAAAGTGTGCGCATGATCAGTTCTGACACCCGGAGCAGATGAGGCGAAATGCGTTCGAGTTGAAATGGCATTCCGTTGGTTAGTGATTCCGGCAAAGAAAAACGGAATATCCATTCGCCGAAACAGTTGTATCTGTCCCATCGATGTTGTAAACTATCTTGTGATCATAATCTGAATATGTGTATATATATAAGGCCGTGGACCCCTCCCCCCTCCCCCCCCCCCTGGGTGGTTGGGGTTTTGGGTTTGTTTAGGGTTGTTTAGGGTGGGTATAGGCTTGGTTTCGGGTTGGCTTGGCGTTGGTGGGTTTATGGTGGGCTCAGGGTTGGCTTAGGGCTGATTTAGGTTTGGAGGGTAGGTTCAGGGTGGGTATAGGGTTAGTTTAGGGTTGGTTTAGGGTTGGTTTAGGGTTGGTTTAGGGTTGGTTAAGGGTTGGTTAAGGGTTGGTTTACAGTGGGTTTAGGTGGGTTTTGGGTTGGCTTTGGGTTGGCTTAGGGTTGGTTTAAGGTTGGGTTGGTTTAGGGTTAGGGTGAAGGGTTAGGAGCGTAGGATTGGCTTGGTTGGGGTTTGGGGTTGGTTGTGGGTTGAGGTGGAATTCGGAATTCAATTTGCCCCTTTGTAGGGAAGACACAGGAACTGGAACAGGCCTCATCCGTGGTTTGTTTTTCTTGACCCGACCAGTGCCCCGTGAAAACCCCACGGAAGCCCTCCGCAAAGCCTTGGGAAACGCTGAGCAACCCTCCCGAAATCTCCTTGGGTAAGCAAGATAAGGGGGCCGAAAGATTGATTTATGAACAGTCGCTAGCTTTCGTTCACTCCCTCCTCAAGTATTAATCTTTCAAAGGAAACCTTCGGAAGTCTTCGGAAAACTTGCGGGCTACCCACAAAGCCCCACTGGGTACCGAGGCTTGTTGTTGCTTGAAGGTGCGCATTCATGAACTCGCAAGTCTTGGTGGCGTTTTGGGCGACCACCTGGCGCTACGCCGGGTGAAGCTTGCCGCGTTGGGAGGCGATCGTGACGTTCGCCAGGCCCATGTTGGCTCAGCTGAATCATTTTCCTTAGCTTTTCAGAGGCGGAAAGAAGCAGCAAGACGAGTCACGTGTTTGTCCGAGCAGACTAAACCCAGGAGTTTCTTTGACACAACCCGAGCGTCAAACCCGTCGACTGGATGGCGGCCGGAGCCCTGGGGATCCGTTTCTGAATTGCGTCAATGAAGAAGAAATCCGGAATCATGAGGAGTTGTTCCTTTCCTGACTTCGAAAAGGACGCCAAAAGAGAAAAACAAAAGAAGGTCAACGGGGGGTGGCTGTTGAGGAATACCATTCCCCTGTCGACACGCCTGACGGCCTGCCCTGCGGAAGTTTCGCCGCGCAGAACTTTGGCATGTGAGTCCTTGTAGGTTTTGTTTTGGGTGTTACGGCGGACAGCATCCTTCTTGTTTTTGAATTGTGCATGTTCCGCAAATGAGGCACTGACCTCATGAAAGAAATAGATGCGGTAGTTCCAGGGAGACTCTGGAGAGAACATGCTTGCCTCAAGTTACTCATGTTTTGGTGAGCAATGCTAAACGCCTTGGCAGCAAAATTGGGCAGTGGCTTGCCAGCATCTTAACGGGCGACCCACCTTGAAACCATATCTCTGGCAGCAAACCGGGCTCCAATGAACCAACCATTGAGCCAAAGGAGTTCAACATCAGTAGGGCGCCTTGGGCGACGGGGCGACGCTTGAATTTCTTCCAGCCCTTCCAGGTAGGTGTCGGGGCTGGGCAGACAATGACCGTTCTCGATGAAACGTGTTTCAAGACCAACAATACTAGCAATGCTTCGTAGAATAGTAGGAGGAGGAGGAGGAGTAGTAGCAGTAGTAGTAGTAGTAGCAGCAGCACTGGCAGTAGTAGTACCAGTGTTGAAAAAACAGGTTGGGCGATCCCTGGTTTACCTGGTGGTGAAAGATCAACTACCAGGGAAACCCATCTATTTTCAACCAAAAGGACACCTGTGATCACTCTCCATCTTTCCTCCAAAAAAGAAAAGCCACTCGTCAAAAACCCGAGGCTCCGCCGGGATATCATGGCTGGGGCCCGGCGCCGCATTTGGCCGCGGCCTCGGGCCGAAACCGTCGCGACTAGTCGCGTCGAGCTGTTGGAGGCAAGGCCACGGTGAAGAACTGCTTCTTTGGCGCATTTTGCCAAGCAAATAAAACAGGAAATTTGTATACACCCTGCATATCGTGGCTAGTGGAATGTAGACCCAATAAACTGCTTGGGGTAGCTTCCCAGAGGTGCATGTTGGCAAGGGATGTTAGGACTGAACAACTTTTTGCTAACTAATGGGGTTTGCCGAATGAAACCCACTAAAAGTTGAAAACTTTTAGCAGGGGAGCAGAAAACAACCGAGGCTTTGTGCCCTCTCCCAAGTACGGTAGCCAAAAAGTGGTTGGGACCTGGGTGCTGGAAAGCTTTTCACAGGAGCACTCCAAGCTGGCAGGGTCCCTTGAAAAAAGAAAATGGTCCAAACCAGGCCCCCCGCGAAACGTCAGGTTCCATGTGAAAAGGAATGAGAGGGTGCATGATAGGAGTTACTTGAAAGCTCACCTCCTGAGATCTGGGCCGCTGTCCTTTGTGGTGGCAGAAGATAGATGGCGATTCCGGGTTGGAATGGTTCAAACCCTACCAAACCCCACCTGCCGCGGCCAAGCCAACCCTCAAAAATCCAACCCCTGCCCCAAATCTGACCCCCCCCCAAAAGCTCAAAATCCCCCAGCCCCCAACCCCCAACCCCCAACCCCCAACTACCCAACGGACGCCTGGATTCGTCACTCGGGTTTGGACCGTTTGGCGCTCAACCAGTTCACCCACTTTGTTTGAAAGGCCCATCCAGCGTGAAAGGGAAACCCAGAAGGCAACCCAGATTATTGGGCCCACTATTCTAAGACAACCCCAGAATGGCAGTTCCACTTTGGTGACGATTCATTTTCATTGGAGACCTTTCGGTAAACAAGTTGGTGGGGGTTTACCTTCACCAACCATTTTGGAGGTGGTTCACTATTAAGATGCTCATTTTGGAGTGGTTTACTATTAAGATGCAGGGCCAAATTGGGTTTTGCCCAAATGGGGTTTGGGCCCACCCCAATGTCAGGGGAGCCGGTGGATTGGTGTTGTTCATCCGTTCTTCCATGTGAAACCGCCTGAAGATGCCACAGAGTGACCAGCGACGAAAGAAAGGGATCAAGGACCAGCTGTCGACAGGAAGTTGGTCGAAGGGAAGGAAGACCCTTTACCTATTTTCTGCCCAGCTTGGTCATATTTCAAAGGCTCATTTATTTGGAAAATAATCCACGCGCTTCAGTGCAAGTCGCCCTGTTTGAGCATAGCCCTAAAGCTCCAAGTATACCTTGTTATGCTGTGGCTTGGACCCAGGAAGCGCATCCTTAGAAGGTACTTGGGGTATGTTGCCTTATGAGAATACCAACCTTTTGGGTTGGTTTAAAGGGAAATCAGAAGGGAACCCACCAATTTTGGGATTTTGGGCATCCCTACTGTGGATGGACAAAATCCCGCACCACCTAAGAAACCCTGGAATGATTCGATTCCCCTGCAAATACCAGCCAGCTGTGGACTCTGGTTTCAAAGCGGTGCGAAATGGATTTTGTCCATCCACAGTATTTTGAGATGGAAGTGAACCAATCCCCAGTGACAACAAAGGTCGTCCTCCAGTTGTGATTACCCCACCCTAATTCACCCTAACATAAGGGCCTAAACCAGTAGAATGGGGTTCTGGGGGCTTCCAAACCACATTGAGTCATTGTTACAGGAGTAAAAACTACCACTTGGGCGCCTGAAGAAGCAGGATTCATCCAGGCACTTCCCCTGTCCGAGGCTCCGCCGCACGTTGCCCCGCGCCCTGGCGGCAGATTCATGCTTCGAGCGCGCTTGGGCGCAGGGGTCGTGGAACTCATTTTCTGGACGACTTGCCCTCCAACCACTAACCTGGAAGTGCAAACAGGCCCTTTCCAAGAGGAAAGTAGTCTTTCTACAGGGTTCTGTGCACTTCCATGTTAGCTGGTGGGAGGGTAGATGGTTCGGGAGGAATCGCTCAATGGGTAACCCGAGTAGTAACTCACTGGACTGCAATCAACACCTTGTGTTGCAAGGTCGGGGTGAAGGTTAGCAGGGACCAGCCCCATCCATGAGAAGGTGCGGCCTTCTGCGCTGCTAGCCTGCTTTGAGATCTTGAGTTTTCCATGGCCCTGAAAGAATGGTTTGCCATTACAGTACTTGTCAAAACCATGAGTGCAAATCATCAACCCTTTGAACAAGTTTCTGGAGAGAGAGGGACCCCAATTCAGGTAGAAGGATACACCAGACAGAATGTTCACAAAGTAGGGCCCCTATGGATAGTCGAGTCACTACCATTGACCAATTGTTTAACACCCCCTCCCCTCCCTCTGTTGAAATTAGTATTGGCCATTTTTGGGCTCGGCTGGAAAGTGTTCCTAATTATTGGGGATCCGTTTGCAAAAAAGGAGGAAGGAATTGAGGGATCATGGCAACTCCAGCTGCTCGCGCACCTGAAACCAGAAACTCCAACACCACATCCGGCATGAAGCGGCAAAACTTGCGCCATTTGTTTTCTTCGTGGCACCCAGCCATCCGGTTCAACTTA